TCAGTAGCATTAAATCCATGTACATTGTTGAGTTCAAATCCCTGGAACTCTTTTCGTCTTGTAAAACTCTAAACTCTACAGCCATTAAAGAACTTCCCAGTTGTCTTTCCACCCCATTCATGGTAACTACCATTCTACCTTAGGTCTCCTGGAATGTGACAATCCTAGAAATTTCACACAGGTGGGATCATGCGGTGTTTGCTTGTCAGTAATTGGCTTATTTCACAGCTGGATGTCCTCAAGGTTCATCCACATTGTACCATGTGTCAGAATTACTTTTCCTTTCCTTTAAATAATAATATTTCAGTGTATGTGGAAGTATATGTCTTATTTTGTTACCGATTCATTTATCAATGGACACATAGGTTGCGGCCAGCTTTTGGTATAGTGAATAATGCTGCTTGAATGTGGGTGTACAAATACCTCTCCAAGACCTTGCTTTCCATTCTTTTGAGTACGTTCCCAGAAGTGGAGGGCCCTGCTCATGTTTATTTAAAATGTTTGAGGAACTACCACAGTGTTTCCTAGAGGCTATACCACTTTGCATTCCCAACTGTGCATAACTCCCAATTTCTCCACATCCTTGCCAATGTCTGTTGCCTGCCTGCCTGCCTTCCCTGTTCCCTCCCTCCCTCCTTCCTTTTCTTCCTCTCTCTCTCTCTCTCTGCTCCCTTTTCTCTATTTCTCATTTGGGTGGTACTATTCTAACAGGAGTGAGGCAGTACCTCCTTGTGGTTTGGACTTGTTTTTCCTGAATGATTAATGCCATTGAACATTCATGTGCTTATTAACCATTTGCAAATCATCTTTGGAGAAACAGCTATTGAAGGTCTTTGCTGATATTTTAATCAATTCAGTTTTTTGGTTGTTGTTGATCAAATTTCTTGAACAGTGACTAATTTTCAGTGCCCCTTGAATTGATTTCATTCACTCATCAATTTGCTCTCCATGGCCTTGTAGTGGCATATTGTATTGTTATTTTTTACCACCAGTACAATCAGTTGGAAATTAAGCTCTTTCCTCCAGTGTCTTTATTATACACCTTTCTTCTCTTTTTAAATTGAACTGCCAGAGGTGGGCATTGTGGTGCAATGAGTTAAGCTGCCCCTTGACACCTGCATTCTATATCAGAGTGCAGATTCGAGTCCCAGCTACTTTGCTTATGATCCAGCTTCCCTCTAGTGCTTCCTAGGGGGAAGAAGATGATGGCCCAAGTGCTTGGGCCCCTGCCACCTATGTGGGTGAGAGACCCAGATGGAGTTCTGGAATTCTAGCTTTGACCTGACCTAGCCTTGGCTATTGTGGGCATCTGGGGAATGAGCCAGTGAGTGGAAGATTCCTCCCTTCTCTCTCTCTCTCTCTCTCTCTCTTCCTCCCTCCCTCCCTCTCCCCTCCCCCCTCCCTGTGTTTCTCCTTCTCTCTCTGTAAGCCTACCTTTAAATAAATAAATAAACAAAAAACAAACAACTGCTTCTAGAATAACTTTTTTTAAAATTACAATTTACTTGTTGGTGTCAGAGTTATCACTTTTGATTTCATGTAGAAATCTCTGAAAACCACTTTCTATGTGTGGCATGTTTATCCTTGTATACTTTGAGTTACCAAGCATATTTCTGGTAAGAGAACGATTCCGTTTTGCCTCAATATTGATGAAAATTGAATCCTGCATTTATAGTTCTTTGTTTCCATGACTGAGCAAGTTTCCACATAACTAGCTCCTGGCTTCTTATATTTTAAAGCTTGGCTTTTCTTCAGTATGCAGATACATTTATGCCACAATTGGCCCTCTGGTCTGACACCTTTTATGCTGTGACACTGGATGAGTCAGTCCAGTGGGCAGTAGGACTATTTCTGGAAGTCATTATGACAATGGGAATGCTAGAAGTATAAACAGAAGTCACTGATCCATGTAAATATGTGCCACTGAGCCCGGATGAAATGTACCCTAGATGCAACTCTCTCTTAGCTACCCCATGCCCCAGACACAAATACCCCCTGAACACAAGGGACTAGAGGGAAGTCGGAGTGCAAACAGACAGTGGTCTTTATGCTTTAAGGTTGAAATATTCTTTTGCAAATTTTTCAAGAAAAGGTCTGCCATGTACCAGTGTTGTTGGGACTCTTTCTGGGCTTTGGACCTGGGCTGTGCAAGCGAGGACTCCTGCAGCCTTCAGTTCACCAGCTTCAGGGTGAGTGCATCTGCGTGGGTGAGCAGAGTCCTGATCTTCAGGAAGGGTGAGGTGAGGAGTGTGAGGAAGGACCCAAGACGTTTGCTAACCTCCCCAGGCTTCTGCAATCACACACCACATGTTCAATATTCCTGGAATGTCCCTTCTTGGCTGGGGACCATGGACTTCCTGGTAAGATGACAGCAAGCTGTGATATTTTTATTTTACTATCCCGCCAGTCTTCACCTGCAAGAAATGTCCCCTTAATTGCTTCAGCATGGACCCCAGCTGACATTCTCCATTCCTAAGGGTCTCCCAGTCCCAACCTCACAGTAAACTCAAGACATCCAAATGGTGCTGCCAGACATGGCAGCTGGAAGCCAGACATCACGGCCGATTTGAGCAATTAGCTGAGCTCCCATCCTGGGCTGGCCTCATTAGGGGAGTCCAGATGTCCACGCTGGAGCTGCCTCCCATCCCTGGGGTGGGCTGTCTCCCAGGTGAGGGCCAAACTGGCGTCTGTGGGAGGCGTGTCAGAGCCCAGAGAGTCCTTCCTAATTTTCAGGGCTGCTAATTGAAGTTGAGTGAGAACCGCAGAGGTGCCGGCCATCGCTGTCTGGTCCCGAAGGCTCTCTGGTTTCCCGTGCATAATCGCCGTCTGCACACGGCTCAGCCCATCTGGGGCAAGCACAGCTGCCACGGCTCAGTCGATTGTGAAGGGTGTTCAGGCACAGTCATGCTGTTCCTCTGCTGCTCAGCTCCCACCGTGACTAAATGGTAACATCTGGAAAAGGGCAGGGCAGGGCGAGGGCAAGGAGGAGGAGGAGGGCGGGAGAGGATTAAACCTGCTCCATCTTTATGGGAAGATTTTCTCTGATAATGTGAGCCTTTTCTTTCCCATGTAGTGGGAGGTGGGGAAGGAGAATCTCATCTGACAACAAACTGACAGAGGGGCCAGACAGAGATACCAGCTGTTGTTAGGGCCTGCAATGCTGTCCACTTAGGGAGTTCATTTGCCTCCTAGGCTATGTGAATGGAGTTTGGGGTACACAGCATGTATGGTCAGAGTGCACTACCCCCACCTCAACGTCTGCCAGCTTGACACAAACTGGACCATGGGATTGTCTTAGTTTATTCCTAGGTTGACCCTGAGATAAGATTTTGGGCACAAGTAATGGGAAAAAGAGCCGAGAAAAGAAAAGAAGAAAGCTGTGAGTGGATTGTGTTTGGGGCAACTGATCCTGCCATGTATCTTAGACTAAGGTGTGCCCTAGGGCAAGAGACTGCCAATGTTAAATGGGGGCATGTTCTAGGTATATAGTGGCAAGTTGGTTACCCTAGTTGTGGGTGTGACTAAGATTACGGCTGCAGGTGCCTGGCTCTATCAGTTCCCTGAGTGTGTAGACCATACCTGCCTTGAATTGAGTTGTCCCACTAGGGACACTCGTGGGTGAGGGCTGCTCCCACAGGTGTTCATTCTCTGACGGTTCTGACCTGCCCAGTAATGAGGCAAGCATACTCCAACAGCCAGAGGGAGAACAAGATGGGAATCCAAATATGACTGCCATACAGATCCTGTCTTTCCCTGAATGTAAGTGGAAGGAAATTTTAAAGGTGGCCATTGTTCTCCTTTGAATGTGTCTTTTCACCCTGCGTTCTCAGTACACCATGAATCGCCATTCCCATCCCATCTAGGTTCTTCTGCTCTTGTCTCCTTGCACTCTTGGGAAGGCTGCCTCTTAGGGGAAGGATATGACTATAGGTGTGGTGGTAGGAGGCAACTGATAGCTCTGTCTTTTTGAACTGGGTGGACAGAAGAGCCAGCATTGATCCCTGCATAGGCTGCACACAGGAGGATTTCTCTTCATGACTGCAACTCAGCTTTTGCATAGTCTGGTCATTGCAGGCTGGGGTGGATTGGACCTTACTGTAGGCAGAGCAGTGGTCCACAAAGATGCCCGCATCGGAATCTCTAGACCTGTGTGTTTAGTCACACAACGGAGAGGGGTTACGTTTGCTAGTCAGCCTGACCTTAAAACAGGGAGATGACCCTGGCTGAGGTGGGCCTGATGTAATCATAAGGATCCTTAAAAGTAGACGTTAGAGACAGAAGAGGAAAGTCAGAGTTGGAGACGTGCTTCTGGTAGAGTAGCTGAGGAGATGCAGGGTTGCTGGCTTTGAAGATGAAGGAAAGGGGTGGCCAGCCAGTGAGTGGGGGTGGTCTGTAGAAGTGAGAAAAAGCAGGGAAATGGATCCTTCCCCAGAGCCTCCAGAAAGGAGTGCAGCCCCTGTTGACACCTTGGTTTTGGATCGATGACACCAGTGTTGGACTTGCAACGAGAAGTAGAATTATAAATCTGTGTTGTTTTAAGCCACTCAGGTTGTGATGATTTGTTACAACAGCGCATAGAGGACCTGGCCCTCTCAAAAACAGTTTTTGCTCCATTTTACTCACTTGCACTTCCAAGTCAGATTTCACTGAAACTTAGAGTTCCAGAGCTACCGATCTGAAAGCCAATGAACTGGGTCACCACAGTCCTTGTCTTTGTAGGGCTGCCAGCCTGGTGGGGGACACCGAGAATGCAGAAAACTGTGTATGGGGGCTACAGAGGAGGTAATGCCTGACCCTCACGAGAGGAACCACAGCTCTGGCAGTGGAGCCCAGCCTTCAAGTTTTCAGCTTGGTTTGATGCAGGGAGATGATGCTATTCAGCCTCTCAGGAGGGCCCAGGGCTTGTTTGTTGAATGCACTTGATTCAAGTTGAACTTGGGAGTGGGCTCTTAGATTCTGTTCCATTTCCACCTATACCTTGAAGAAGGCCCACCCTGCTTTTATCCAAGAAGGGTTGTCAATGGCGCACCCGTAGGGGCTTTCAGGAGCAGCAGAGCCTGCCTGTATGCCGCACTTGTCTCTGACAAAGCTGGGTCTCTCCACACATCAGTCACATAATCCCCAAAGCCCTTTCCAGACAGGGTCTGAATTAGCTTGCTTGTTGAGTCCACATATCATTGGTCTCAGTGCCTCCTCGGCTCCAGCATGTTATATGCATGTCCACTAGAGCAATCCTCATGTTATACTGTGGCTTGTGTTCTTTTTATCTGACTGTTAGACTATGGACAGCTGGAAGGCCCAACCGTGTCTTATTTAATTTTGTAGAATGACACCCCTGAAGGCTTGACATACTCTAGGAGCTCAGTAGATGCAGCTGAATCAATTAATTCATGCGCCTTTACCCCGATGTGCTCTTCAATGTGTGTTTCCTTCCTCGGCAATGCAAAGGTAGGAGTTATTACTTCTGATGGACAGTGGGATGCTTCATGGAGCATGTGACTGTTGAGCTGGTGGCTTAGTGAGGAGTTACAGCACAGGGGTAGCAGAGGTATCGAAGGTGAGAAGAAACAGCACAGGCCCAAGTGCAGAACACCTTTGGGAACTGCCGACCAGATTGGCATGGCTGTGGCCCTGAGTGCGAAGCTATGTGAAACAAGAACAGAGTTTAGGGTTAGAGGTTGGCTAGATCACGAAGGGCTCTCCATGAAGGGTCAGGGGTTTGGAATTAATTCTTCAGCTGATGGAGGGACCACAGAAGGGTTGGGGGAAAAAGGAGGTTTTATAAAGATTTAGATATTTTGTAGTTTTTTTTTCTCCCAAGGTTAATGAGCCTGAGTTATTGATCTCTTAGGCTTTTCCAAATGGTTATAAATAACTTTCCTGGGGGATGTTTTAAGGTGTGACCCTGGTCAGGGCCCTAGGGAAGTCTCTGAGCTGTCTCCAACAGGCTGAAACTCAGGCTTGTGACTTTTCCTTTGAGACATAGGCCTGGGGGGCTGTTCTGCCCTGTGGGGCTCTGGCCTGGTATCTCTATTAGAGTAAGTGAGAGGTCTCCTGGCCTGCAGGGGATGTTAATTATCCATCCACATGCAGCCTTTTGAGTCCAAGCGGTGATGAATTGCATCCGAGCTCTGTGCAGCACATCATCATTTGGATCAGGGGTGCAATCTCTGTGCCCCGTGTGACATTTCTTGAGAGTAATTCACAGTGTGTTCCAGGCAGCTGCCAGGAAGGATGCTGGGAACCTTGTGCAGTTAGGGCTGTGTTCTCCCCCAGTCACTGCAGTGCCCCTGCAAAGAGGCTTCTTAATCCCAGGAGTCTGGACCGTAAGCCCACATCCAAGTCTTCCTTTTCTTCATTTCCTGGCTCTGACCTTGCATCCTGCAGGTGAGAAAGGAGCCTGATCCTTCTGCTGGCTCAGGGCAGCCTGTCTTACTCATAGGACGAGTAAAGCCCACGGCTGCTGGTGAGGGCTTGGCTGAGAGAGGGTGGCCTGCTGGTTTGTGGCCAGAGTGGAGCCTTAGAGAGGTCAGGCAGGCCAAGAGGAATTTGTGGGTTCTTACAGATGAGGATGAAAGACTGAGACCACTTGTCTGTGCTTACAAAAAAACAAACAAACAAACAAACAAACATGTGGGGCAGCAGAGTCTGTGCCCAGTTTGGATGGGCTTCCAGCATTCCCTAAATCTTTCCCACTTGTCTTGACCTTCCCTCTCCCAAGAGTTGGTATGGACTTGGACAAACTTGATCATCAGGCATTCACTAAGGGGTTGGAATATCAAGGGGAGACTTTCTCTCAGAGACTTTTCTTAGTCCCAGGGCATGAGGGCACATGGCAGTTTATTTAGCAGCTTCGTGGAGCTCATGTCTCCTGGGCTAAGGTGCATACAAACACGCATACATGATAGATAGTGTGCACAGATTTTTTGTTGATGAAACACCCTGAGAGGTGTGGGTCTATCCTGTCTTGTTTGCCATCAAATCATAGACAACAGAGTCCTTGAAGCCCGGAAGAGAAGGCACTAGGACAGAGACCACTTTGCTCTGTCCTGGCCCAATGTGTGGACTCTGTGAGACACTGAAAAGGGGTGCTCCTTCAAAGCACCACTTGGGAGTTTCAGGCTAGGGACTGTGTTGAGAGGAGGCTGGCTTGGCAGAAGGCTATTCTGTCTGGCCGTATTTTTCCAAAAACCTGAGATGAGAGGCTCTTCTGAAAGCTAGTCTTGCAGGAGGACAGGAAGTCAGAACTGACACTGGGAACGGCTCTCCCCGGAACACGCCTTCACTCTGAGCTATCACTTTCACTGGCTGGGGAGCACCTTCCATGCTTGGCTTGTTCTCGGAACACTGCGTGCTGAGTTTGTGTATCTGGGCTTTGCAGATCGGGCAGGCTTTCCAGATCACTGGGATCTGAGGGACTCTTTGGACCCTGCAGATCTTTCCCGTCAGCGGGGGTATGGGCTACCCACACTGTGCCACTGTCTTCCCCATACCCTGCCGAGCTAAGGGAGAAATTACATTAAAACATGAAGTGCATAGATGTACTCCCCTCTTTTAGGGTTAGAGTCTCAGGTGCTGGCCTGGTTTCCAGGAGAACCTCCAGGTCCCTGAGTGTTGAAAGGAGACACGTTCTGCTTAGTTAGGCCAGGGAGGAATTGAGTTAAAAATGCCTCTTACTTCTCCTCTCCTCTTCTTTGTGCTACATTCCAACAGTTATTCCTTTTAATTAAAGTATTACATCAGGTTAGTTATCTGGCTGTGATGAGAGGACTCTGAATGCAGATTGTCTTCCATATTTCCTCCTTTTAGGCTGTTAGCATGAGTTTTCCATTTAAGTGTTGTCCACTCCCTGCCTTTGAAGAAGAAGAAACATAGACATTAAAAAAAAAGAATTAAAAAAAATCTCCACTCTCCAGTTTTTACTCCATTGCTGACAACACTGGCTCCCCAGGCATCGGTGGGTACACATGAGTACCCCAGAGACTCACAGATAAACTTCGTCCAGAACGACTTGGCTGAGTTGCCCTGGACTTTGCCCTGGGAAGATTCATTGCTAACTCAGCCCCTAACTCATGCTGTGCTCCTGGGCAAACAAGTTGAGTTCTCTGGACTCTATCTCTTCCAGGGTGAAGTGAGGGGACTGGTTTTGGTCGTTTCTGAAGACCCTTCCCTTCTGGACATGCCCAGCTCCATGCTCATCCTGCCCCTCCCTTGAGCCTTCCCCCAGCATGCTCTGCTGCTCTCACAGGCAGGCTTGCTAACACATGGATTTATGTGAGGCACTGACTTCCCCCTGCAGCTCATTTCCGCTGCTTATTACCAGAGGGACGGGATTCATTAGCCTGCTTTGCTTACTGAAGCCTTCACTCCTCAGATTTTATGTAGTGATGGCAGCTTTAACCCCTAGGGCTAACAGCAGCAACATTTCTGGTTGCACTTTATTAATCCTAGGACTGAAAAGTGAGGACTGGAGGGTGGGGAGGAGAACAGAATGCCTCGAACCTTCAATAACTGCGGGTCCCAGTTGCATTGGGGGCATGTGTGGGAATACACAGGCCAGGAAAGTGAGCTGTGGTTACTCCTTCTGCTGGGACATGAAGAGTTAGGTTGACAGTGGTTGTTAGTGGTGCTGGGGGATAGCTGTACCTTGAGGGAAGGAAGTGGGAGAATCATGAAGAAAAACCATTCTAGGGATGAAGGAGAGTAGAAAGAAGGGAGTGGGCTTTGCTTCTAGTTAGTTCTTGGTGGTTAACCTCTGCCTTTATTCCAGAGTCCTGTAAGAGAGTAGACTGAGGAGTCAGAAGAGCAAGGTTGACTCTACACAGCTCTGGTCTTTGGAAGAAGGACTCAGTGACTATGGAACTTGAAGTTGGAAGAATGGAGAGCCTTTGTCCTGGGGACTGGTACTTCTGGAATGTTGGCCACATGAGTAACCATGGAAACTGTGTATTTTGGGTAGCATCAATTCCATGAGGTGTTCAAGATAAAAGTGTTGTGTGCCAGTGAACTCTGACAATGCTGCAAACTCTTTCTCTTGGAAAGTAACAGTATCACTGCTATGGTAATGTCTCTGAGAGCCTATGGGGTAGAGGAACAATTTAATTTTATTTATTTAACTTTGAGGCACCCAAGTGGATTTGAGAACAAAAATCATTTAATTTTTGGAATGTCTACTAACCTTATACAACTAGTGCTCTATTAATCAGACTTTGTGCAATGCTACCCCTGGGTGACTCCTGCTGGTGGAAACTATTGGCTTGGGTCTGCTTTGCTGCAGAGTTGCAGCTCAGAGTGCACATGAATGTGATTTAACTTCTCTTTAGATTCTGAGAAATGCACATATATAGATTTATATTTTACTTTTGGTGAATCAACCAAGGACATCCCAAAACTCCAAACTGAAGCCATAAACCAAAAATAAGTGAAATGAAGCTACAGTGAATATAATTGGTGTAACAACTGAAGAAATAGACCACCCTACTTCCATTTGGGAGATAACAGGATTTGAGGAGGGGGAAAATACAGATGCTAAGTGGGTAGAGGGAGAAGCCTGCCTAAATTAATTCCTCCAGAGGAGGACATACGCATACATACATTCACACAGAGGGAGGGTAAGAGAAAGAGGAGGGAGGGAGGGAGAGGGAGAGGGAGAGGGACCATAATGAAAGCTGTCTTAGGCTGGCTTCTTGGAAGCAGAGAGCCTGATAACCTGCTAACATTTTATGGAAAAGTGTGACCCCGGGGCATCAACAGTAGGGAACAGCAAGATGAGGTAGGGAAGGAGGGGAAGCAAATACAGAGGGGTCTATTCCCCGTTGACCAGTCTTTCAAGAAGATCCACATTGAGCTGTTTGGTCCCAGGGGCAATCTTCAGAGACACTGTAAGGAAGAGTCTTGGAATGTCTTGGAACAGTGCTTTGGAGGAGTAGAGGGGAAGAAGACTTCAGCTGCAGGTCGGTTCCATATTTTAGGTTAGCCTTTTGGGCAGCTGCTGGGAAAGCCCGAGCATCCATGAGTTCACACGGGTGGGATCTGGGTGCCCGAGTTGCTGAGGCACACACCTCACAGTCATGCTGGAGGCCACATCCTGACCCAGCTCGTGCTCCGTGGGGAGGTTGAGCTGTCTGCTGGTTTGAGGAGATGAGGTGATGGTGTTGGCTGCCTTCCAGAGTCTCCACGGAGCAAGCCGTCAAGGTCCAGAGGCAGATGGGAGCAAGTGTATCTGGAGAGAAGACAGAGTGATCCTGGTGGAAGGACCATCTAGAGAAACAGTAAAGGAGAGAATCCATCTGTGGGAATGCAGTACATTTTTTCTTCTAGGGCCAGACCTTGAGACCTAAGCATGATGGAGAAGTCTGGCCAGGTGGTCAGAAAGCCAGCCTGCTGACAGTTGTCTTGTGAGGATGTGCAACTGAGGATGGGCATGGCCTCTTTTATGCTTTCTCATCATCTGGGAGCCATTCTTGTCTGGCCTTGGAGATGGAAATCTGTGTTTTGGGGGTTGGTTTTGCCTGTTCTTGTACTCAGCCTGTGACAAGTTTATTTTGGTTCAACTTTGGATCATCTACCCCAGAGACCCTGCCTCCTTTGTGTGGAAACCTTCTTCCTCTCTGTGGGCTCCAGCCTGACACTTGGCAGGCCTGGCTCAGTTGGGAGGCCATCTAGAATTACATGTTCACAGGGGCTCACAAAGATTGTTTTCCTTAAGCTTCTCAAATGTTTTTGCAAAAGAAAAACAAAAGACAAAGTAAAACAATCCCCTGCCTTGGGCAGAAACCCAGAGTGGTTTCTGAGTCTCTGGTCCACAGGCTGTTTGTACCCTGCCTCTCAGAGGTAGATCACCCAGCAAGGTGCTTTAGATCCATGGGGACAAAGTGAGGCTGAGTGGGGATCGGAAGCTGGGGACTGGGCGAGACATCCCTGATTTGGATCCTGACTTTAATCTCAGGTTGCCACTTTCAACATAATAAGTTGCTATCAGGGTCAGAATAATTACATAACTTTCCCAAGTTCATGCTGCAAGATCTTGGGTTCAAATGCAGGAATGCCTGAATCCAACATCTGTTTGAGTCTCCCCCTTACCTTGTGGGGTAGATCTGCCCTTCAGAGCTCTTAGGCTTGGCAAGGAATGATGTTCCAAGGCTCTCCTAGGGCCTTCAGTTCTCTGCAGACTGATACCTGTCCTTGGAGGTGAACACTATTAAGATAAACTTGGAATCTGGGGCACTTGGACATAACTCAAGGCTTTCCACACTGTTCTCTTCTTGTTCCCTTCAAGGACAGGTTCTCGTGTACTCCCAGAGGCCCTTGTTAGGAATGGGTTTGCTTTTGACATGGCTGAGTGTTTGATCCGCCTGAGCATGTTCACAGCTGCAGCTGCCCACTGCAGAGGTCATTGTGGCCATTCTTTAGGTTCTGGGTGAGGTGGCTCCTAAAGGAAGACCGTAGCAAGAGGAAAGGCTCTTGCCTGCTTTTGTTCTGGTTAATACTTTGGAGATTCATTGAAGTACTGTTTATTAATGCATTTGGCTATAAGTAGAATGCATGAAAGTGTTACTTTAATTATTATTTTTTTGACAGGTAGAGTGGACAGTGAGAGAGAGAGGCAGAGAGAAAGGTCTTCTTTACCGTTGGTTCACCCTCCAATGGCCACTGCAGCCGGCACACCATGCTGATCTGAAGCCAGGAGCCAGGTGCTTCCTCCTGGTCTCCCATGTGGATGCAGGGCCCAAGGACTTGGGCCATCCTCCACTGCACTCCCGGGCCACAGCAGAGAGCTGGACTGGCAGAGGGGCAACTGGGACAGAATCCGGTGCCCTGACTGGGACTAGAACCCAGGGTGCCGGTGCTGCAGGCACAGGATTAGCCTAGTGAGCCGCGGTGCCGGCTGTGTTACTTTAATTGTGACTTTACTTTCGAGGCATGTGTGCGTTGCTTGACAATTTGGGCTATTTTTTAGCATAACCATTATTTCTTTTCAGAGGCATAATATTCTAGACCCAGAGTTCTCTACAGAAGGCCTTTACCCCCTAAATGTGTAACAATTATGCTAGATATTTCATGTATGTCCCTTTTATTTCTAAAGCACAGGGGTATTCTTCTTCTTTATCAAGGCCATTATAACTTCCCTTTGGAAAATTAGTAAAATATTCAACAAGAAAACACTGGAGCTGAGAAGGATCTTTGAAAATACGTGGTGATCTTCAAATGTGTTACATGCAAACTGGGGCTCCATGAAGAAGTTTCATGAATACCACAAACATTGATTTTATTCACATTTCATTATAAAAACATGCAAACTATTTTGAATGCTCTAATTAAAGCATGTTAAATTCATTTCAGAACTTCAGAAAGTTAACCGGTGTTGCTAGGTGGTTGGGGTAGTATTAATTTCTGTGAAAAGGTACACAGTGGGTCAAATACAGTAATAGAAGAAAGCTAAAATGTGGAGTCTGCAAGCAGAGATGTGGGCACCAAGACTCTTTCCAGCTGTGGCTCTGCCATCTTTCCCTGGGGACTTCGGATTTCTCTGTGTTCCTTTGCACTGAGCTGGCAGAAGTACAGTAGGCAGGGAAGGCTGTGTGTTAGAAGAAGCACATCCTTCCTCTTCCATGCTAGTTAAAAATCTGCATGTGGCCTCAGTAACTGGGACGAGTTCTGGGAAATGTAGTCTAACTTCCCAGGCAGAAGGAGCTGGGATGGAAAAGAAGGGGGGGTGGTAATGGGCAAGGAAAGGAAGAGGGAAATAGAAGAGGAAGGGGAAGGAGAAGGGGGTGACGAACAAGAGGAGGAGGAGAAGACATGGGTTTGGTAAAGAACTCACCAGTCCTTGCATTGTCAGCTCATCTTTTTTAGGCACATTGTTGAAAACCTGACCGGTTGAGCTGAGAGGTAACCATTCTTAGACCATTTAACTGTATGAGTCTGAATTTTGAGACTGTGTGATTAAATTTAACTCAAGGTGTCAGCTCTGGGTCTGATATTTTTGTATTCATGAAAATAACTTTATTAGTCTTATTGTTCATATAAATATCAAGCAAACATTTTACATTTGACTGTAAGAACTGTTTTATGCTAACAAAATGGTACTTTCTACTCCATAAATTATGAAACTCTGCTAAAAATCCTTGAAGAATCTGATTAGTAATCAGGAGCAATGTCTTTATTTATAGGAACGAAGGCCCAGAGAGAAAGGCTGCTTGCCCAAGGTCGCACATTGATAAAAAAACAACTGGTATTTGTGCTTCGACTTCTAGTTCTTAGTCCAGTGCTTTTTCTGCTATTTCAACTTGTTCCAGGGCTTCATGGCCCTCATAACTTGGATGCCTTCAACCTGTTTTTATTGTCTCGGTCTTCAAGGGAGAGGGCAGCTGAAGACAGAGGGTTGTTAATTCTGCCCTGAGATGCAATATCTTGCAATTTTGGGTCCAGTTGCTTCATGAATCAAAATTCAAAGCATTTATGGGGCATTTATTATTTGCTGACCATTGTGCTGGGAGCTGAGGGTGCAATAGTGTTAAGGGCATCTCTCCAGGAGGATGGTACAGTCTAGCAGAGAAGAGAGGGAATAAATAATGAAACAGAAGTAGAGAGGAATACATTTGTGAATAGGTACAGTGTAGGAAACACACAAGTGACTGAAATAGGGGAATACTGGGTGAGGTGAGCTCGTTCAGATGGAAGGATCAGGTGGCAGTGGACTCCTTGGGCTGATCCTGGGTACATTCGAGGGCTGACTGTGTTAATGAACTATGACCCTAGCAGGAATGGCTTCGTTCCTCCCTGAGCATCACCAGTGAGCTCCTGGGTCTGGGAGTGCAGGTCCTATGCGTTTTGTGTGGTAGCAGCCGCATAAAACTGTTAGAGGCTGCAGAATGTGTACAGAGGTTAAAATAAGTACAAATAATTAAAAAATGAAAGTGAGTCAAGATTCCTCTAACAACTAAAAAAGAAGAGAATTTTCCCTCCTGATTGATGAAGTAGCTAAGCAGAATATCAAAGATATATAGCTTTCCTATTCTTTTTGAAAGGGATAGATAGGTTGGGGAATTTTTAAAAATTAAACATTCAGTGACATATTTGCTGGTGGCTTTCCCTTCTTTCTGAGTTTTGATGGCTATAATCTGCTCTGGAATCTTCCCACATAGGTAAAAATGAAGACCAAGGAGGCAGTCATGCATGGAGTGTGTATTGAAGTGGACATAGAGCGCAGAGCATGGGACAAGGGGTATATGAATGAGGTGTGTGTTGGGCTAGGTGTCTAGCAGGGCACATGGAGGTTACTCCCATTTTGGCAGCTAGGGGGTGCAGTGCTGTGAGCTTCAGGAGCACCTGATTCACCTCCCTAGTTTTCTGTTCAACAAGACTGAGACCAGAGAGGGGAAGCAGTGTGCTCAGGGGTGCACAGTGGATCAGTGACAGAAGCCAAGACTGGAACCCCAGGATTCCCATTCTCACATCAATTTGTTCCAGAAGTCCAGAGGCTCTTCCATTGAGAAGTCCTAGAGTAGGGCTTAGTCTCAAATGAAACAAAATTATATTCCAATTGAGAAGGCCTTACCTTCCACCTTCTTTGGGGGCTGAGTGTGATATGGCTCACATGATAAAGGGATAGGGATTGAAAGTACAGCCCAGTGTGACCACATAGCCTCGTGGATGCAGAATACTCTGAGATCAGATGGGAGAAAAGTGATAGAGGGCAATTGTTTTTCACCATCTCAAGTTGAAATTGTGCCCCTGCTGAAACCCATATATGTCCCCATTACTTTATGGGCGCAATGATACTTTATTTAATTTAGCAAGATTTTCTCTTTTTTCCCTTTCCTCTTCTCAAAATATTTGGATAAGTTTATATAAAGAAGCTGTGAGGACAAGGAATCTAGTATAATTTTCTGAGCTCTTGGAGGGTTTATGTCATGTTTCCTTTTACTCGATACATTCTCTTGGCTTTAGGTGTCCTTGACATGTGGCTGAATCCCAAGTCCACATCCCTGTGGTGAGTATCCCCCCACTTGGATACCTACCTTCACCTCATTGTCCCACAGAAAAATGTTGAACTCAACATCTTTTCCCTGTTTTGGGCTGAGTTCTCCAGAGAGCAGACAGAGGCTGAGACCAAGACTCCTGTACTGAATTTGTCCCAGTTCTCAGAGAAATAGAAACACTAGAAGTGTGTGTGTGTGTGTGTGTGTGTGTGTGTGTGTGGTGGGTATAAATATGTATAAGGAGAATTTTATCTTAAGGAGTTGCCTCCATGATTACAGACTGGAAAGTCCTGAATCTGTGGGAGTGAGCAGCAGCTTGGAGCTGCAGGAAGGGTTGATGTTGCGGATGGAGTGTGACTGCTGTCACCTGCTGCAGAATTCCCTTTTGCTTGGGGAATGTCAGTCTTTTGTTATGGGTGGCCCTTCAGTTGCGTACTCACGGAGGGCAATCTGCTCTACTTGAAGCTCATGTTAACCTCATGGAAACATCCAGAACAGCGTTTGATTATGGATCTAGGTACTGTGGCCTAGCCTCGGTGATGAATAAAATTGACCATCAAGTGTGTGAATAGCTTGTTCGGGAAAATGATCCCAAGGAGGAGTAAGGGAAACAGAGAAACAAGAAAGGAGAGCATGAGATCACCACAGAGGTGAATGACCTACCCAGATGCCCAGCCAGGGGACCTGTGTTTTTCTCTCCCAGTTGCCCCCTGGTGCTACCCTGTGCACATCTGGGTTGTGCATATGTGAAACCAGTGTCTCCCTCAGGCACACTGGTAACCACAGACCAGGGTCACCGTAGGCAAGTGCTCAGGCTGGGGCTTAGCCAGGTCTTCTCTGTTCACAGTGAGTGGCATTGGCAGTGAAAGCCATGGTGAGGCACAGCTGAGAGGCTGGGGAAGGTGGCCAAGAGGTGGCAGGTACCTTCTCCCAGTAGCATTTTCCTCCCTGAAATCCTTTGTTGTGGGGCCTGAAACTGCATCATTCTTGCCCCCAAGCCTTGGAATCTTTGTAGATTCCTCTGTTTCCTTCCCCGTTCACATCCAAGTCAGATCAGTTGCTTCCACTTTTTCTCTTGTTAGTATGTCTTATGTGTGTGTGTCTCCTTTGCAACCCTGGTGCTGTCTGCCTCCCATCTAGTCCTCATCAACTCTTCTCTAGGTTCTTGAAATAATTCTTCAACTGGTCTCCCTGCCTCTGGCCTTGGACATCAGCCCTAGTAACATCTATACAATGTGTGCCTGACCATGTAGTGTTTCTTGTTTAAAATCCCTCTACAGCTCTGAAGTCTGAAGAATACATTTCTCCCAGCTCCTGGGATTGGCACACAAGTCCTCTGATGCCCCACCTCTATGCTGTCCCACTGTCTCTTGCTCCTTGGTGCTCTGTTCCTTCAGGGGGGACAGCTTGGAGGCTACTCAGGTTAATGTGCTTTTTTTTTTTTTTTTTTTTTGACAGGCAGAGTGGACAGTGAGAGAGAGAGACAGAGAGAAAGGTCTTCCTTTGCCGTTGGTTCACCCTCCAATGGCCGCCACCGCCGGCACGCTGCGGCCGGCGCACCGCGCTGATCCGATGGCAGGAGCCAGGAGCCAGGTGCTTCTCCTGGTCTCCCATGGGGTGCAGGGCCCAAGCACCTGGGCCATCCTCCACTGCACTCCCTGGCCACAGCAGAGGGCTGGCTTGGAAGAGGGACAACCGGGACAGAATCCGGCGCCCTGACCGGGACTAGAACCCGGTGTGCCGGCGCCGCTAGGCGGAGGATTAGCCTAGTGAGCCGCGGCGCCGGCCCAATGTGCTTTTTTTGATAGGCAGAGTTAGACAGAGAGAGAGAGACAGAGAGAAAGGTCTTCCTTTCATTGGTTCACCCCCCAAAATGGTCACTATGGCTGGCACGCAGTGCCAATCCAAAGCCAGGAGCCAGGTGCTTCCTCCTGGTCTCCCACGTGGGTGCAGGGGCCCAAGCACTTGGGCCATCCTCCACTGCCTTCCCAGGCCACAGCAGAGAGCTGGACTGGAAGAGGAGCAACCGGTGCTCCAACCAGGACACAAACCCAAAGTGCCAGCACCACAGGGGAGGATTAGCTTAGTGAGCCTCGGCACCGGCCAATGTGCTGCTTCCTGCTCTGATGCCTTTGAGCATGCTATACCCTCTCCCTGGAATGCCCTGCCCCTCTTCAAGTTCACGTAGTAAACATCTATTGTCCCAAGACTAAGTTCATGTGTCACCTTTTTTTTTATTTAAATATTTATTTGAAAGGCAGAGTTACTGAAAAGCAGAGGCAGAGAGAAAGAAGTCTTGCATCTACTAGTTCACTCCCCAGATGGCCACAATGTCTGAAGCTGTGCTGATCCTAAGCCAGGAGCCAGGAGCTTCTTGCAGGTCTCCCATGTGGGTGCAGGGGCCCAAGAACTTGGACCATCTTCCATTGCTTTCCCAGGCTGTAGCAGAGAACTGGATGGAAAGTGAAGCAGCTGGGACTCAAATCAGCACCAATATGGGATGCTGGCAAGGCAGGCGGTGGCTCTACCCACTATGCCACAGTGCTGGCCCCACGTATTATCTTTTTAAATGATGTTTCCAGAGCCTTTCAGATGGAGAATGGACCACCTCTTCTTTGGTACCCTTCCTGCATCCTTTCAGACATCTTTCTTGGGTCTGTATCACACTTAATTGCACTCACTGTTAATGTGTCTGTGTTTCTCAAACGCACAGAAAGTGCCTTGACACCAGGGTCCCATCCGGGTCATGTCTTTGTATCCACATCATGTAAGGCTTAGCCTGACACAAAATAGATGCTCAATCAGATGTTACAGGGGAGGTTCCGTGCTGAAACGGCTGATGCAGGAGGCTGTCTAGGACCCCGAGATCCTGATGTGGGAGGCTGGGAGATGAGCACATTGCATCTTCTGGCAAGGCTGAAGCACAGGTGAGGGCCTGGCGTATCTGGATTGTGTTAGGGACAGACCTGCCCAGTGCAGGGGGATGGATTCTTCCACCCCTGTGGAGCCCCTTTCTCCTGCAGTGTGAGCCCTGAGATGCCCAGCATCTGGAGGTCTTGCCAGGGGAGGTTACGTGTTGGCCCATCTCCCAAAGAGCCAGTGCTTGTAGGTCCTGAGAATTTGTTTCCTAATCTCTGCTTACAGGACTCAGAGAGCCTGGAATTCTCATGAAAGGAGCCTTTGTCTGATATGGGAATGGCTTTGGAGCTAATCTCTCCTTGGATGCATTTTAATTCACTTTAATGACTCTGCCTCCTGTCAGGCTTTTCTTCTGCGAGGGGGGTTTGTTAAAGAGATTAGAAGGAGCGAACATGAGCCCCCCCAATCTAGCCTTCCCCAGAGGGAGCTGGGGCAGGGAAAACTGTGTTCTGCAGAATGTATTAGGATGCTCTGGGGGTGAGAGACGGAGCAGAGCCAGAGCAGGGAAGCTATATATCTAAGAAACACACTCAGGGCTAAACACCCTGCATGTGCCACGCCAGGCACGTTCAGCCTGCTGCATCCGCCCCCTCCCAAGTGGTGGAGGTCGAAGCAGACAAGACAGGATGATGTCATCCCTAGGCCACTGTCCTTTCTCTTGTCTCTCTCCCTACCGCTCCTCCAGTTTTGTATAAACACAGCTGTTTGTGAGGAATGCTGGCTTGGGAAACCATAAACCGTCTGCATTAATGACCTTTCCTCCCCACCGCACACCCCTTCCTACTGAATGTGGGAGACTGGGATGCTTTCAGTCCAGCAGACTCATTGTCCTCGTGGCTGCCCCCCCAGGCCTTTTGGTTTTCTAGTTGGGGCTGTGGGGACTGGATTCCAGGACTGTGCAGAGCCCAGCAGGCTGTGGCCAGAAGTTCATCAGCACTCTGGTTGCAGGGGACACTCATGACCACCTGTGGAAGAGCCTGGGGGAAGCAGAGAGGGGAGGAGGGCTTCTCTGCTCCAGGCGAGGGGGTGCTTGGAGGAGACTGGAGGGCAGAAAGAATCCACAGTGGCTGCAGGTGCTCCTGGATCTGTCGACTTGGCCTCAGAGCTGCCCACTTCAGGGAAACCAGAGGAACAAGGGGCCACTGTGGGCTTTGGGCTCCCCCTTAGTGTTGAGCTATTGAAGAGAGAGAGTTAGAATAACTCCACCCTCGTCACAACAGCCCAGCCCCACTGCCAGAGCATGCACAGCCATGACTTGGGACCAAGCGCCTTCATCCTTCCAAACATTAGGGGGCAACTCAGGGGAGAAATGAAGCCTGAATTCCTTCAGTCCAGCTTCTTTTGAAATCCAGCAGCCCTGCGGCCACAATCTGTTAGTAGTGGTTTCCTGCTTCCAGATGGCGACCTCTGGGCCTTGGAGGTTAGGATGGATTTCATTCAAGCTACTGAACTTGGCATTTTGGCTGGGAACTTGCTTCCTGGCCCTGTATCCCCTCCCAGGCTACTAATCCTCTCTTAGTACCCACTCGCTCACATGGTTTTGTGGTCACAGCTGCAAAGGAGGAGTAACAAGTGCTTCCCAGGCCTCTCTTCCCAAAGACCAGGCACCATAGCAAGGGGCCCAGAGCAGTCGTCATTGTATAATGAATAGGGGGCTGTGCTGGAGAAACAGGGATGTGTGGAGAGCCTGCAGTCTTCTGACATCTCCTGTTGGGTTGTCACAGGGAGAGAAGACAAGCCTTCATCCACTTCTCTATGTTACGCGGAAATCATAACAACATGGCATTAGGCTACTGGTTGCCTCTCTTGCCTATATTTTTCTGAGGAAAATGTAGTCTTCTTACACTTACTGGCTACTTGCCATGTGTTGGGCAGGGTGTTAGAGGTCTGCGTCTGTTCCAGTGTTGTCCTTGCCACAACACAGTGTTGTTGGGCGGTGCTATTTTATGGTTAACAGCAAAGAAACCAAGACAAAAGTTTAAGAAACACTATCTGAGTCGAGTGTTTGGCCTAGCAGTTAAGATGCTTGTATCCCTTGTCTGAGTGCCTGGGTTTGATACCCTGCTCTGGATCTTGCTTGCAGCTTCCTGGG